ATCTCCTTAGACTGGCAATGAGATGCAACATTATCTCCTTAGGCTGGCAATGAGATGCAACATTGTCTCCTTAGGCTGGCAATGAGATGCAACATTGTCTTCTTAGATTGGCAATGAGATGCAGCATTGTCTCCTTATGTTAGCAATGAGATGGAATATTATGTTAGCAATGACATGCAACATTGTCTTCTTAGACTGGCAATGAGATGCAACATTGTCTTCTTAGACTTGCAATGACATACAACATTGTCTCCTTAGGCTGGCAACAAGATACAACATTGTCTCCTTAGATTGGCAACAAGATACAACATTGTCTCCTTAGGTTGGCAATGAGATGCAACATTGTCTCCTTATGTTAGCAAGGAGATGGAACATTATGTTAGCAATGACATGCAACATTGTCTTCTTAGGCTGGCAATGAGATGCAAAATTGTCTTCTTAGGCTTGCAATGAGATGCAACATTGTCTTTTGCAGTGAGGTTCGTCTAGACCGCCTAGGCTTGTAATAACATGTATCATATGTCTCCCTAGGCATGTAGGGAGATGGTGTTAGCCTAATAATTTGTAACATATATTGCTCACATTTGTTAGTGGAACCTAAAGGTAAACGAAGAGATCTACTACACACTGAAATACAGAGAATTATGGCAAGAGCTGAAAATATAAAGGACTATCTAAGGGTAACTTTACTTTATTTGTCTATCTATCGAAAAATACCCATTACTTTATTATTTATGTTCTACTTTTCAAAACAGCTTTCATGAACCAATGATTTATAAAATCTTAATTTCTTTATGATATTATTTACTTTATTGCATTCTTAGAAATAAGTTTAAAGCAATGACATGACATAATAGATGAAACAAAAATTAGCATGTGATCACTTGATATAAAGGGAACTGAGTAAAATATAAGTATTGATATGTAAATTTTATGTTATGCAGTGGTCTTCTAAAAAAGATATTTGTAGTTATTAGTGTGTGTGGATTATTACTACAGACGTAATTACATTATTACATTATGTTCCTCTGACCATGCATGAAATTAAACCTTTATTTCATGATAAATATGTAAATTAGTTTAATCAAAATAGTTCTTAGTCTTGATATGTTCGTATTGCTTCTTTGATGTGATGAAACGATATTTCTGAATTTGCATACATCCATTTGCTCATGCAAACGATCATGTACAGTAATACTGCTGAAATAATATTTGTTTGTATTGAAACGGCTTGTCTAAAATAAATATCTTTCTATTTATAACGTGGATTCAGATAATAACACTGCAGCTGATCAACGTGCAGGAAGTATTGCATCATAAAAGTGTCTAGAGATTGTTAATAGGACATTTTTGAGAAATAAAATCTCTGAAACTCTGCCTGCCATGACTGACTTACAAATTTTGAATCCCGAGACAAATACTTGAGCCTGGATCTTTAAATTCAAAATGGCTATCTGTTGGGG